CTGCTTATCCTTTGTTTATGCATTTGAAAATAAAATAAATGTTTTTAAGATAACAGCACACTTGCATACAAAAGAGATTTAATGGGGAAGCCCCAGAATGTTTAATTGCTAAGGAAAGCTGGGAATAATAGGAACAGGAAAGTGCAGCCTGTTAATTACATTTCTGAAGGCAGATTTCAGAATAGCTCAGTGATTCAATTAAAAACTTCAAGTCGGAAGATGAAAATTAGAAATAGCTAAGTCAGAAAATTTGGAAGTGATACTAGAAGAGGTCTCACTTGAGCAGCAACTGCAATGATTCAGAGCTGTAATATCAAAGGTAATTGAAAAACAAAACAAAACACAAAGCTGCCTAGGGTAGCTTTGGATAGTGAGATGGGTGGCATATAAATTTAATAAATAAAATAAAATAAAATTATTTATGGAAGGGGAAATATCAAATAACAGTACAGTAAAAGTTCATAAAATGTTGTATTTAGCAATTAAAATTTAGATACAATGGAATAAACTGGAAAAGTTTTTTTTTCGATAGTTATTGGAACACTAGAATGTTTAGTATAATTACGGAATAGTTAACTATAGAATAACTATAGAACAGATATTGCAGACTAGAAGCTATAACAACAGAATTGTCAAAGCAGCTGAAAAAATGTAATTATTCTATTTTATAGTGCCCAGCTTACAAAAAAGGGGAACTATGAAACACTTATTGCAATGACATTTGGGCAGTTCCTAGGGTTTTAGATAAAGCTGAAATTGATCCTAAACCAGCAGCATTTGCTGAGTATTCTTCAGAAAATTATAGTAAGTAAATTATAATAATTATAACAATATTATAACAGCCTGCCTTTATGAAACTGTTTGAACTGAATGCTGATTTTATTTTCTTTGCTTTGAGTCCTTGCCATTCTTTCATGGAATTTCATTCAGTTCCAGAATAAAGGGAACATGTCGTTAAAGGAAATGCATGTACAGACCATGAAGCTGAATATCTATTTTCAGTATTTATTTTCATTATAATGTCAATTGTATAATATATGTGTATATAAACTTGTTTCCACAAGAACTGTAATTTTTTTTAAAAAAATGAAGAACATTTGTACAATATCATTATTACACAATGGATTTTATATCAAAGTAGATTTTTCTAAATATATTTGTTTCTAAATGTATACATTTATAGAATGATTTCATTGTGCTTTTATGGTTGATAGAGTTAAGGTCAATGCCTAGCAGATAAATAATTTACACTGTGACTTGAAGGAAAGTGAAATTTTGCATTTACAGTATGGGTTGCAGCATACTTTAAATGCAAAATTTGCATTCAGTGTATGGGTTGCAGCATTGCAGACAACCTGTTCTTAAGAAATTAGATTAATTAATGGAGGATAAACTTTAATCATAATGGTTATATGGAAACTGAAATTTAGTTGATATCTGAATAACTGCAGGTAGCTATCAAGAGGTAGCTAGAGCTGTTATGTTTAATCACAGACTACCATAAGACACTTGACTAGGTGCTTAAGAAATAGGTAGTAGTACTGTTATTACATTTTTTCCAAGTAAAATTGTATTGAGTGGATCATTGGTTTGATGCAGTAATCCAATACTATAATAGCTATAGTATTCTCACAGCAATATTACTAGCTTTCATTTGAAATATACATTTCTTTTGTATATTTATAAGAAAGCACTGTCATCACAATATCAAAATTTATTGCTGTCATCCAAACAAATTTAAATAGAGTGGTTCTTTCACCGAAACTAATCTGTCCTCGGGAATTATAGAAAGCATAATAAATTTTGTTGAAATTACAACAATTTTTTTTATGCATAAGGCAAAGGATAAAACAGGTTTACATAAAACTGATAGATTGTTAATTAAATCTTGCTCCATATGTCAGATAGCAAGATCACTTATAATAGTCATCTCTATATTGTGACACAGAAAACATTTACAGATTTCAGGAATTATAACAGAAAGTTACTAAAAATTAGCTCCTGAAATTATTGCTTTGTTCTTTCTGAGAAGAGAACTAACCCTGCCTGAAAAATACCACTGGGAAATTTCCAAGCTGTAAAATTAGCTTTAATAAGTTTTAATATGCAATATTATTAAGCATATACTTACTTCATGAATCTCAGGAATTTCATGAGATACAATTTAGCTATGAGAACCATAGTGTATCATTCCAATGTTAGTATATGTGATTAAGAAGTGAGCACAGAACCATATTGTGATGCTCATCTGTAACCAATTCCCACCATGTGAATGTATTCTTATTGCCTAAGTCAGAGGCCCCCAATCTTTTGGGCATCAGGGACTGGTTCTGTGGAGAGAGGTTTTTCCATGGACCAGAGGAGGCATTGTTTCATGTGCTGCCTGTAACCAGCGAATGGAGCTTTGCGTGTTTGTGCAGTCCAGTTTCTGGCATGCCATCGGTCTATGGATTGGAGGTTGGGGCCCCTGGTCTAAGTGCTAAAAAACATTAAAATTTGCAATTTATGCAAGAATTTCTTAGGATACTTTGTAAGTTTAAAGCACTCTTGAAGAACTACAATTGAAAGCTTCTGAAAGGCAAACTTCATCTTTGCTTTTGGCATGTTTAAAAATAAATATTGCTGGAGATACTGTAGTGAGTAAAAACATAAGAACTTTTATTAAATGTGTTTTGCATAATAAGAGAACATTGAAGTAGTGATACTACAGCACTGCAGTAAGCTTAATGACTTTGTTCTGCTCATCTCTATAATGATTAATATATCAGCTACTATGAAATAAACAGAGCACTCAAATTTATAGCTGTCGTATGACTTATAAAGAACTAGAATACATTCAATGAATTATTCAACATATTTTGGAGACAATGTCATTTTATCTCTTGTTGGATATACACCAATTTTTTCCCCTTTCCCACTGAAATGTTTAGCTTCAGAAGACAATATGGTATAAATGGGACAGAAACAGAATAGTTTCTCACAAGTTAAAGTGTTCTGAGACACTTTAAAAATATATAATGAATACATACAGTTCTTGATATATGACTGGTCACTTAATAGCCATTTGAAATTATGGCAGAACCTCCCCCAAAGCTGCTCCTGACCCATTTTGAACTTACCTGCACCTGCATGCTCATTCACCCTTTCAATTGACTGCAGGGGTTCTTCAACTCCTTCCCACCTTTCTTCCTCCCACCCTTCCTTGCTGGGACCCTGCAAGCCTCGGTTCTACTAACCCCATTGTACCTTTTGAAGATCTCTGGGCTGCCATGTGGATGGGACAAACTGCTTTGTTTTGATGCCTTAATGTGGTCTGCACAATACTCCAGAAGCTCCTTGTGAAGAAAAATGGAGCAAAATGGAATGGTTCATCTCTGGGCCACTTAGTAGCCATACCCACAAGGAATTGCAGGTACACTGAAAATGATGGCCACTTTCAAAAGGCAGCCATGTAGCCCAGGGATATGTGACCTGCCCTCCTTTCCCAATATGAGGTCTGGAAGTCTTCAAACGATAATTGAGGAGGAAGGTGTGGGGCCTAAGGCCTGCAGGAATGCATTGGGAAGATGAAAAGACCTGCAGGGACTGTGGGGAAGGGAAGTGGAATATGGCTTATCTTGGAGAATGGGGGACACCTTGAAAGGTCCATGGTAGGAAGGCCTGTGCTAGGGCATTTCCCATTTCTGAGGCACCCTGTACTCTGCATCCATTTGTTTAATGGATGCATCAGGGATTGCATGGGGTGGGGGTCATTAAGGAGGCCATCTTGCTTAATGGCAATCATCACTTGCGACCATAATTGGCAGGCTCTATTACTGCCCTATCTTGAGAATTACTTTGTAAAGGTTTTTTTAGGAGGAGAATTATTATTTTGTTTATCCTCATTCCTGTATATTTCTGTGATCTAGCATGTTAGTCATATTTTTGAAGTGGACCTACAACTCTTCTCTTGGCTGCCTATAAACTATAAGCTCTCTATGGACCCCAATATGATGGTAACTTCCATTGCAGTATGTATATATTTGTTTCTTGCTTTAAATAAACCAGATTCTTTAAGTAGTTGTAGACATGCACTACTGTTGTGCCCCCACGGATTCCAAATCAATATTTATGAAATGCATGCACATTTAGTTTCGATTTAAGAAATCAGAAGAGTTTTAAAAGATAAATTAATGTTATAGTCATTTACTGATAATATGCTATCATAACTGCCTAATTATGATTAATTATAAGTCACAAGAAGAATTCTGGTAAAGTGGACCTAACAGCTATTTAATAGCACATTGTTTTTCCCAATGCTCATTACCCATGGAAAATTGAGAAGCAACACACAAAGATATTAGCAATTTACCACTCATGTTTCATAACAGGTACTCTACTTCTAGCACAGGAGATAATGTATATGCATAAAAATTAATAACTGTTTATATAATGTCTACTAGCTATAAAAATATTAAGTTTATTATTGCTGTCTGCTTTCTGGTTTTAATTTGTTGAATTCATAAAAGGATTTCTGTTGCTTATCAAACAGTTGCTAGGTCTGTTCCAAAACTTTGGTGAGGGACTTTTTGCAAATCATTTTAAAAATCCACAAACACAATTAGCTACTTGATCCTCCTATTAAAATCTTTCCAGATACTGTCAAAGAACTCTGAGTGATTAGGGATATAAATTACATTTACAAATGCCCAAGCAGCCTTATATATTTTTGACAAATGTATCTTTACTAATGTTTTTTCTAAGTTTATATGGAAGGGACATTGAGGTAACTTCAACAATTTCCTGAACTGCCTCTCAGAATAAGTCTTAAAAATTAAAATTAAATGGATCTCAGTCTTCTGGACATGCTAAATATTTTTGTTAAAGATTTAATAATATTCAATTTGGCAGTATGGTATCAAAAGCTTCATAGAATCATAGGCTGGAAGGGATCTTGGAAAGTCATATTTGTTATTACTATTTGTTATTATGAAGCTCAGGAAATCAGGAGTCAAGGTGGCTCAAATGAATACAGGTTTATTACATACTAACACGCTCTACAAGAATTTGAATTACTAACAGTTAAGGCAAATTGACAGTAGATAAGAGTCAACAGAATTCAAGGAGAGCTGGACTTAGATCTCTTGTGGGCATGAAGGGACTCAAGACTGATGATGCACTTGACTCCTTCCCTTGGGCTCAGCCTGACCATTTCCTGGAATTATATTCATTTTCTTCCTAAAAGATATCAATAGTTGACATGTATGATCTGTAAGATAAAAAGAAGCAAATAATTAATTTAACTAGTCTTAAATAACCTTATTCTCTACTATTACTCTTTCATTCTCTTGCCATCCAAAGGCTATTCTCTTTTCTAAAGTTTATTTGTTTTAACTTAATCATTGCACTTATATTATTGGCTCTGTGTTAATCAATACCATCTGCATTTATTATCAACTTCTTGCATTAATTTTGTATGAATTTGTGCTCCTTTTTATTTTTCACTTCCTTCTTCATTTTGAGACTTTATTTTATTTTCTGTAAAATCTCCTGAATACTGTACTGCTCATTAATCATGGTGAGAACTGGTAGTACCTTTTCTTATCTGTCAGTTGCTTTTACTTTTAACAGAACTTCTATTGATATAATCTCCAAGCATTTTAGAAACAAATGAGTGTCTTGACTTTTCTTTTCAACTTCAAATTAGTACTATATATTAGTTTTAATTACATTTTTTCCTTTGGAAATTAAATAGCAATGGAAATTTCTTACTTACTTAAAAATGAAATGTAATAGTTCTATGGCTGTTTGGAGAACATTGTGAGAAATTAAAGATGCATTAATTGGGTAAGAAATAAAAAATAGACTATTGCTTCTAAGAGTGTTATTGAAGATAAGTATTGAAAAATCTATAATCAACTTTCCTGTTTTGATCTGTCCTCCAAACATCTCTGTTTTAAACTATCAGAGATGAATTTTCTCCAAGCTTTCTACATTTCATAAGAGAGGATAGAATTATGGGAACAGATAACATAAGCATATCCTTCCTTTATGTTACATTGCCACAATCAAACGTGACTTTCAGGAGTTATCCCAAGGTCAGCTGCTTTTTGTTTTTCTCTTGAAAATTTTCTTTTTCTCTTGAAATTCAAGAGAGGAAAGAACAAACTAATTGTTTAGCACTGATGTCTGACAGTCATTGCTGGTGAACTGCTGGCTCTTGCCATAGAGAACATATATGTATGTTTCCCATTCTCTGCCCATTGGCTAATTTGGTTTTGAATCTCTCTCTCTCTCTCTCTCTCTCTCTCTCTCTCTCTCTCTCTCTCTCTCTCTCTCTCTCTCTGTGTGTGTGTGTGTGTGTGTGTCTGTGTCTGTGTGTCTGTGTATCACCACCCTTTGATTTAGAAGACTGGGGTTCAAATCCCACCAGTACATATTTTACCTTGGGCAAAGGCTGCCTTATGATCCATGTGCTTATCTTGGATATGAAAATAACACAAACATCGTTCAGATTAACAGAGTTTGCATCAGATGCTGGGGAATCAGGACAATCTGATGATAATTGGGCCATTGGAACAAACCATACACGGATAAGATAAAAGAACATTGAATTGATAGAACCAGTGCTTTTTTTTTAAAAAAAAAAAAAAGGTGCCAGAACTCATACATGTCATGCAACCCGCCTTGCCTATCCTACAAGGTTCCATCCAAAAAATGGTACCGGAACTCTATTCTGACAAAAAAAGCCCTGGATAGAACTCTACTATAACAGTAGACCATGAGAGGGCCATATAAAATGTATGAGTGAACTATGGATGGAGAGAAGACCTACATCTCCATTAACTTAAAAATTACTAGCTACACAACACTTCAGAATAATGAAGAGAAAGCTATTCTCACAACACGAGATAGTCCAACTATACATGTTATCCTGAACTCAAGAAAACTGGAAGAATAACTACAGCTGCTGAAGATGTTTGGCTACATGAGCAAGAATAGCAATATATACCACCCTTGAAAAATGAAGTTAGAGACTGAGATCAAGGCAATTCGGAAAGACATTAGTCACCTAGTGAAACTACAGAAGGGCAGGAGATTAAGGATGAGACTTGGCTACTGAAAAAATATAAAAGCCCAATTCTATACAAACTAAACCTAAACAGAGTCTCACTGCATTAAGGAGATACACTGCAGAAACAAAGAACAAGAAAGTAAAAGCCCTCTTCTTCAAAGAGCCATTCAAGATGTATTCCCAAGCCAGTAACAGCAGAGTCATCAAACAGCAGAAACTGAACAGTACTGGAAGAACATGGGCAAAATAGAAGATACATAATATTAGTGCAAAGTGGCTACAGCACCTGAGAATATACCACAGGAATCTCCCAAAACAGTGCATAAACCCTTAGCAACACAATAATCACAATGACTAGATGCAGATGCAAGTTCAAGAGTGGAATTACCATCAGCCACCTACTCTACATGGATGACATCAAGCTTTATGATAAGAGTGAATGAGACATTAACTTGTTGATCCAGCTGACACATACAGTATCTACAGGGAAGACATGGAGTATCATTTGGATAGGAAAAGTGTGGCTGGATTGGTAGACAAGAGAGATAAGGTAGTTAACATGAATGGGATGGAACTACCAGCATATTACATAACAGAAATACAGACCAGCTACAAATACTTTGGTCACATGACAATCACAATGAATAGGCAACGAAGACAGCAACATCTAAGTACCACCAAATAATTATGATAAAGAGTCAGCTCAATGGGAAAAACATTATCCATGCCAACATATACACTCTGGCAAGCAGGGCTTTTTTTGTCACAAAACACCCAGAACGGAGTTCTGGCACCTTTTTTGGATGGAACCTTGTAGGGTAGGCAAGGTGGGTTGTATAATGTGTGTGAGTTCTGGCACCTTTTTTTTTTTTTTTTTTTTTACAAAAAAAGCACTGCTGGCAAGCATCAGATAATCTGTGGTATAGCAATCTGATCAATGACACAGAAGTGGCTGATATGAAGACCCAGGAGCTCCTCATGATATTTGGAGGTTTTCACCCCAAGTCCAACATTCAGAGACTCTATACCAGCTGAAAACAGGACAAGTGGAGTCTGGTGAGAGTCAAAGCCATTGTTCTGGATGAAATCCAGGTCATCCAGGTGTAAATCAGTAAGATGGCACCAAAAGATGAACTGCTGAGAAAACGCCCAAGGCAACAGTAGACATAGGAGGAAGATCAAGCAGAGTAACTGCCACAACAAGGCCTTGTATGGGATGCATCACTGAAAGATAGCTGAAGCGGTTTACACTGTGAAATCTTACAAGTAGTTAGAAAGGGCTGGAGTACAAGACAGGACTAAGGCACTGATCATAGCAGTACAAAAACAGGCACTAAGCACCAGATCCATAGAAACAGACGGGTCTACCACACTAGGGCCGACAAGACCTGAGTGAAGACTGTGCAGAGAGACCATAGAAACCATTCAATACATAGTGTAAGGGTGTAAGATGCAGGCAGGAGTAGCATACACTGAATAACAAAACCAAGTTGCTGGTATTGTGTACAGGACCATTTGCACAGTTCTAAAGCTTCCCAAGTCCAGATGGGAGATTCCACAGAGGTTTATGGAAAATAATAGCATTAAGATTCTATGAAACTTCTAAATTCAAACAGCTAGGAAGGTGCTGGTAGTCAATCAAATATTGTGGTGGTAGACAAGACAATGGTGGTGATAGATATAGTGCTGTCCTGTAACAGCAACATTGGGAATAAGGAATATGAGCAGTTCCAAAAATATCAGGCCTGAAGGAAGAATTGGTGAATATATGGAAAGTAAAAGCCAAAGTGGTCCCAGTGGTAGTAAGAGTACTCAGGGCTATTACTCCTAAGCTGGGAGAATGGTTCCTGCCAGGATCCCAGACCTCTCTGTCCAGAACAGTTAAGGTACCATGCAGAAACCTCAATGTCCCACTTTTGGTAGAGGATCTGAGATTGAGGTAAAAAAAACATGTCACCAATAGGAGGTGAAGGATTTTTTAAAGCTCTGTCTATATATCTATGGATATTCTCAGTCATCCAAATCATGGTTTCTCAAAGGTGTTTTTCAGAAGGCAACTGGACTTTCTTGGCTTTTACTGAAGAAGCTTCTTGGATGAGAAACAAAACATTTTCAAGGAAAAACTAAGTAAGTCCAGTTGCCTTTTGAAGAGCACCATTGGGACATTTTGTCTATTTACTTGTTTTTGCATATCCATTCCTATCCCTTTCCTGTTTCCATTTTATATCTCATTTCTACATTAATTTTCTTACTTTATTAGGAGAGAAAATGTCAGCCCTAAATCTGAATGATCAAAATCAATCAGTTTAAATTCCTGATAACCCATTTGAAGCAAAAATCAGTATAAACAGCATACTGCATATAATGAAGTTCTTTATATTTTCCCCAGTTGTACCATTTCTCTACTTGTTTTCCTGAAGTAAACAGAATGAAATATGACATGTTTATTGGAATGTAGATTTTGTTTTAAAAGATAACTCCAGAGAAATACATAGTTCTACGAATGGAAGTATTTTCAGAAAAGATTCTGATTTAATTGAAACAGTTAATCATTTTGTAATGATTTTTTCCAAATTGATTAAAAATACCATCATATAAAATGATTAACATTGAAGATTTATTAGATACTGATTTTTTTATCTGATTTGCACAGTCTTCAAGCACTGCTATAGGCTTGATTATGCCTGCTATCTTCACATCATTGACCATTGCCACAGATGTCAGGTTTTTTGTCTTCTTCCTTCATATTCCTTTGCACAAGACACTTTAGAATTTCATTGCTACTTAGATTATTATAAATTTATTTCAAGCCAATTCATCAAGAACTGAGGAAAAATTTGAACTGGGTTTTGGAAGCAATGACATGGTTCTGCTGGGACAACTCATTTTAAATATACAGTCAATTGAGATTTGTTTTTCCTTTTGATGGTATAAGATTAAAATTAATCTTCAATACATTTAAAATAGAGCATAATATAATATATAAACACTTCAAAGAAGAAATACAGTAAATTCAATTAATTTCTAAGTTGCAGCAAATTTCAAATGCATTTTAATTAATTGCATTTTTCCATTGATACCATATTAATAGAACTATATTCAAAAAGTTAAAGTTCTAGATTTATTCAGATTACTTCAGTGATAAGAATTTGATATTGTAGAGTCAACATGTATTATTTTCCAAACTGGAATAT